GGTTGTGAGGTATGCGGCTGGCATGCCTGCGATTGCACCGGATGTGAGGAGTTGGAGGACACCTATTGAATGATTAGCGGTACGCTTGGCTGAGGCATGAGTGATGACCTGGCTTACCCAGTTTCTTGTTAGGTCCCTCGCCAAAGTAGTCGCGCTTCAGGTGGTTGTAGGTAGGGAAGTAGATGGCGGAGAATGGCACGTCGCGGAGCAAGCATGCGCTGGCGCCCTTGTACAGACCGACGAGACCGAGGTTCCTAACGATCCACATCGCACTCCTCTTCTCCGCGGTTCCTTGCTTCACCATCTCGCCCTGTACTTGTAGACGAATCTTGACAATCTCGAGCGGGTTGGTGAAGATGACTTGACAAGCACCTGCCGAACCACCTGCCAGAAGCTCGTATGGCCACCAGATAGCGCCGGTTTTGGGGTCAGAGAACTTGCCACGGACAAGGTCGTTAACGGTCAACTTAATAGCCTTTTCTGGCGCTACACCCACAAGTTGTGGCAGCACACCCGAGTACAGGCCCCTGAAACCCTCCCTGCTGATGACCTTTTGGGCGCAGTCTAGCGAGTTCTTGTAAAGGAGTTGGCCGACCCTGGCGCTGCGCTGGTTCTGCATCCTGGTCTTGACGAGGTCGATGGGGTAGACCATGAAGGCACCAAAAGCACCGGCAATTGAGCCAAGACCAAAGTGGTGAGCAGAAACCAGGACATCGTGGAGGAAAGTCTTAGACTTTCGCACAGCGACAGCGGCAACATCGGATGCGGCACCCACGGCAGAGCTGATTTGATGTGTTGAGACCCAGGACGCATCCAACACGCGTGCGAAGTCGGTCAAACCAAGACGGCCAGAAGGTTGATCTAGGCTAGCGAAATGGAACAGGATGTCTGCTTCCATAGGTGTGAAGAGCGAAAAGCGAGTGATACGTGAAGCCTCGTTAAGGAAATCAGTACGAGTGATCTTTCCATCTTCAGACTTGTGAACGGCGTTGCGAATGATGAGCTCGGCAAGATCCATATCGCGCATGATGTTCTGGAATGCTCTCACATTGGCGTAAGAGATCTTGCTGCCTGGGGAGATATTGCACAGAGTCGCAAGGTTGTCCAACAAGTGGTCCGACAGTTTGTGTCCCGAAGTCTGGCGGATAATTCGCGAAAAGTCTTCCGGATCAATGTACCCGTCCGCATCTTTGTCATAGTAGTGGAAAGCCTGTCTTATCCGCTCGCCTTGTAGGCCTCTAAGCATCTGAGCGAATTGAGGGTATGTCATAGTGTGTCTGTGTCTCTTTCCACCGAGGTACAGAGCAGCCCAATCAGAATCCCAATCGAAGGGTAACGAGTCTGCCGCACGGTTGCGAGAGTACACCTCTTTGAACGAGTTGAAGTCGACAAGGCCAGATGTCTTGTCGGCGAACAAACGGTAGGCGATTTCATACTCGGCGTCTGGTTTGGCAAGGAGGTTGTTGAACACTCCCCAATCGGAGAGGCTGATACGGCCTTTGCCGCTACGGTCGGCGATGTCAAATAGAATGACATAGTCCTCGCGTTTGATTTTGTGCTGGGGGTGTTAGTTACTGTATATTGCAATACCGAAGAATGAGTCACGCAGGTGTATCGGTAATGCCAGGGCATGAGGGTGCCGATGCTTGTGCGTAGTCTTCCATTGGTGTCCGGTATGCGCGGTAAAGGGGTTCCAACTCACATAGTCTTCGCCGGCAGGTGCAATGGCGTTTGTGAACTGGTCGACGCCCATATAGTATTGCCCGTTCTCCTCATCTTTCACAGCAGCCTTCATAAACTCCTGGCGCGTCTGATCGGACAGCTGCGGTTCCTCTTCCACGCCCAGCAGAGCTTCCTTCACCGTCTCTGTGACCGTCGCCATGTTTCCGACTCTTCAAGCTTTCCTCACAAAGCTGATCAAAGCTGATGACGTGCGTGCGTACAGAGCGGCGATGCAGACCCCAGGCCGTTTGTGGTTCCTATATGCCTTGGCGGGAGCGTAAAGTGTTATCAACGGATGTTAACGAAAGTGAAGGCGGTGTTGGCAAAAAGCGATAGTGAATTGGTGCGTGGCACGGGAAAAGTCGCGAGAATGGTGTCCTTAGGACGGCAGTGAGAATGGGGTTCGGAACGGGTGTGCCCACAGCGCGCGTTGAAGGGTGGATCCTGTCGCCGACCACGGGGGGGAAGCGGAGGATCAAAGTCGATGCGGCGACGGGAATGAATTTTGGGCCGAAGCTTTCTTCAATCCCCGACCCGGTCTAGTGGCGTCCGCCAAGCCATCCTTATTTCCTCCAGTGTCCCTGGTTGCCAATGCCAGCCTGGGGGCGCGTATCCGGAGCCAACGAGCATCACCAGCTTCGTGTTTCTATTATCATTCGGTGGCCATTCCTACTGACATCTCAACACGTATGCCGTGCTTTCATTACCCCCCAATCCGCCGTCGTCTACCAATTGTATGATACGCAGGTCTGTCGCAAGCTTCCTCCGTTTGTAGACTGCTTCCAACTGGCGTCCCAACCACTATGAAAGCCCGAAAACCTTAAGGACGAAGTGAGGCGACAACGGCAGTGGGACCACCTCTTACCTTAGCGTAGAGTGTACATTTATACCGTACATCAAGCTTATACCAAGGTGGATAGTCTTCAGCTAGGAGCTTGTCCAAACCCTAACCTAGCATGGTCCCTGAGCTCACTGTGCCAGCGCAAGGGGGATGAGGAAGTGATCATGCCTATCGAATACACATGCCACCTTACTGGTGCCTTGACAGAATGATGCCCTTTCTGGTGCTTGTTCAGAGTCTACATTGATCGAAGCTTCTCGAGCTCTTGACAGGTCTTGTGTGTGGATATTGAGGAAGGTAGAGATAGCACTAAGGGAATTTATTGGAGGACACAGGGATATCCTCAGATAGCCTGGCATATTATCATCTACAGACGACCCCAATTCTATATAACTCGAAAAGACAGCAGGTTGGGGACATAAGGAGCCCAACTCACGGCGGATATGCACGGCCATAGCACTCCCGCTTCCCCACAAGATCATCGGTGCGGCCTGGAGCTTTCGGCGTCGTCACAGCACATCCGCTCCCGCTTCACTTCACGTTTACCACACAATAATACTTCTTGTCCTCCTTCTCTGAGTCGCGCATTTCCTTGTTGTATTGAGTGCTTAACCCCAGTCTACAGCAGCTGTCATATTTCACAATGGCTGCGTCAGTGGACCAGAGCCCGCACTTCACGGAGCGAAGGCGTGGGGGTCTTTTGATCGTGAAAGATGCACCCAAGTTCGACCTGGAAAGCTACATCGCCAATTACGAAGGTACCTGCGCGATAAAAACCCGGATACAGTGTCCCAAGACATCATACTGACTTATCACAAGGCTTCACACGCCTCGCACGGCTTGAACACATCGCTCGCCTCTCCCCACCTCTCGCCATAGAAGCTCTTCACCTCGCCATACCAGAAGCCAAGACTGGCAAAGACACACGAGCATATCTAAGCCTTGTAGAACTACTCCACAACATCGACGCCAGTGACTCACTGGCCCTGCCAGATCTGGACTGGGTGGAGAAGACAAATCAATTGAATGACCGGGAAACTGAGCGACTGGAACACGAGCTGCGCGGATACAAGAACAATCTCATAAAGGAGAGCATAAGGGTATGTTGCCGGTCGGATGTGAACTTCACCCCAAGGTTCAGGCTGACATCAGTTGCAGATGGGCCAAGAAGACATAGCCTCACATTTCCTATCAATGTCCGCTCTAGAAGAGTCCTCCAAGGCCTATCAGAAGATGCGTGAATACTGTACGACACCTAAGCACATCGCCGAGATGACGATAAAGCTCATATTCGTCGGAATCTCATCCGGTCAATGGCTGTCAGCCCAGTCAAATTGCCACAAAGCACGCGCTCTCTCACTGAAGCCGGAGGACAAGGAGCGCTTCGACCCAGTCATCTACGCCTGTTCCGGACTCGCATACATAGGGCAGCAAGACTACCGTATAGCCGCACAGGCTTTCACAAGTATCGGCCCATCCTTCACGACCGACAGCGCCCTCGCGGGAATCAACTTCGCGAAACAAGTTTTAACAGCAAACGACATCGCCGTGTACGGCGGGCTCTGCGCGCTTGCATCCATGGACCGTCACGAGCTCCAAACCCTCGTACTGGACAACGCGTCCTTCCGCAACTTCCTCGAACTCGAGCCGCACATCCGTCGTGCCATATCCTTCTTCTGCGGCGGCAAGTACAGCCAATGTCTCGGGACCTTGGAAGCGTACCGTAACGACTACCTCCTCGACCGGTACCTAACAGCCCACGTCGAAACCCTCTACCAGCTGATCCGGACCAAGAGTATCGTGCAGTACTTCGCTCCCTTCTCACGCGTCACGCTCTCGGCCCTGGCGGAGGCGTTCCCGAAACCGGGTCTAGCGGTTACTACGCCGGAGATCGCCGAGGAGGAGTTGATAATGATGATTGAGAATGGTTTTCTCGACGCGCGCATCGATACTGTGGATCAGTTGCTCATCGCGCCCCCGAAGGATATCCGCGCTGATGCGCATAGTAACGCGCTCACGGCGGCGCAGGAGATTGAGCATTTGTTGAGGTTGAAGCTTCATAAGATCAATATGACGCAGGCTGGGTTGGAGATTCAGCCACCTAAGGGCAAGGGGCAGAAAGGCGGAATAGGGGGCAGTATGGGCAACTATGAAATGGCTGGAGGTATGATGGTGTAAAGATTTGATGAAGCATTCATGGGCATGGTCTTAGCGGGAGATGATAGAAGGGGATTAGTTACGTGACATGGCATTATGAGGGTTGCTGAGAAGTAAATGCATAGCATGGCGTTGGCGGCTTTCGAATATTGAGGACAGACGATGGAAATGTACATGTGGTATTGAGTTAGCATCTGAGCAGCGGAATATGCTCGCTCGTCGGTCGCTATCCTGTGCTGAGCGGATATGTATAAAATTACTCGGCAAAGTTTCCATATCGGGCGCGGTGGCTGAGTGGTTATAGCGTGTGACTAGAAATCACATTCCTTCGGGAGCGTAGGTTCGAATCCTGCCCGCGTCGGTACCACGAATTCCTCTTTTTGCAATTTCTACCGGACCGTGACAACAATGGTCCTTTTTCCTTTTGGGAACTAAGGGTCAGGTCGCTTTCCGACCTTGTTCGGTTGTGGCTGCTTTTTGCGGATCCTGTTGGAAAAGTCGTGGTTTGGGGGTTGGGTTGAGAGGGTCGAGTGGCCTACTTTCACCCTTTCAGCCTAACAAGGCTTGTATTCGGATGATCAAAAGAATCAAGGTACCTTTTGATTTGGACTATCGGTAGGCACTGAAAATCTTGGGCTTTCCAAAAGTGTGAATTGACGAGATTGTCGGAGCATATCAATACAGTACATGACTAGGTATCCAAAGCAATGAAATTGCAAGTTCTAACCAGTGCACGAGAAACACCCCCATTTTTTTAGCATACCGAGAACTCTCCCACCTCTCTGTAAACGCCCATCCCCCCTGCCCGTCCTCCAAATCCAGGAAACAACAATAGGCCCCGCCTCATCCTCCCAGCCTCGTAGCGCATAAAATGAAAGACTCCTACATCATAACACACCTCCCCTTCCTCTCTTTCCTCTCCCTCTCCTTCACACACCTCTCCACAAACCCGTCCTCAATCCAACACCAACAAACCGCCAACCTAGCATCGCCCTGCCCCCTCTCCCCCAAAATCCGCTTACACGCCTCCCAATTGTCCTCATACACCCAGACACTCCTCTCCCTCTTCGCGCCGTCGACCCACAACAGGTTGCAGTTCCACGCGAACCAATACCCGGGCTTCGAGTAGCTGTCGATGTCGTGCTCGGTCTCGAAACGGGTCTGGAGGAGGTTCCTGGCGGCGAGGGAGAGGTCGGGGTAGGATGCCGTGAGGGGGAGGAGGAGCGCGTCGCGTAGGGTTTCGAGGGGGGTGGAGGGGGACATGATTACGCGGTTGCGGCGGTTTATGCCCGAGGGGGTTACTTCCATGAGGGTGCAGGGGAGGGCGATGGTGGGGGATGAGGTTGGGTTTGGGATTGGGGAGGGGGTGTAGGATGGTGGGGAGATGGATGGGACGGGCGGACTTGGGGAGTCCTTCTTTTCGTCTAAGGTGCTGGGTGGCATGCTGGTTGGTTAGTGTGTAAGCTGTTGTGTTCTAGGGGCGTGGGAAAGGGGAGTGTGGGAGCTCTTGTGGTTTTTTTTTCGACTCGGGCGCTAGTGCGTAGAATTGCTGATTCTACACCGATAGAATAATGTTCGGCGCTATGCCATCCCGTCTTATTCGGAAAGCAGAGGTGTTGCCATACTTGACCATGAATTTTCTCCTGTGGAGGAACAGAGAGTAATCAATGTCCATTGGGCATAGAAAAAGGCAAACGTGAAAGTGAGTCCAACAAGTACTGATAAGAGCTTCCTTACTTTGGAGAGGCTAGTCTGTAGACCAATTCGGGCTGTGACTGTTAGTGTTAGTCAGAAGCTCAGAACAATCATGAAATCATCACATACTTTCAAATGAGGAGGGTGTTCGAATTATTGCCGGAAAGTATAGAATGAGAAAGAGAGGAGGCAGTAGTGCATAGGCGAGGCGTGGTTTTGAGGTCCGGAGAAAGAGGCCAGAGCACCTATTACAGCATGATCAGACCAGAATAGAATCAATAGAGTATATCGCCTTACACTTTACACAGCTGACCATGCAACGAAGCTTGGAGCCATCTACCCCAGGCGTTCATCAGAGTTTAGATGATCTTGAATGATCAATGCTTGATTTCACATCGTAAACCAGATAGGAAAATGTCATCCCGCCACACTCATGGGTTAAAAATATAGCCACCCTCGTGCTCTTAAGGTGGTCCCCAGTACCCATCATTATCGATCATCTCACCCTCAGGCAGCGGCACCGCGCACCCATTCAACAAAAGACAAGTGTAAGCATAGAACCCCACATAATGCACTAACGCGAGCGCGCCCTCCCTGCCAAAATGCCTCTCAATCCTCTGCCACGTCGGCTCACTCAGAGGACCAGGCTTAGTGCACAATTCTTTCGCCGCATCATAAGCAGCCTCACAATCTTCCTCCATAGCAGGTTTCGTGCCCCTCTTGACGTAATCAATCGTCTGGTAAGGCAGCTCCGTGAGGGCGGCCGCAATGCGCTCGTGCGAGTAGATCTCGTAGTCGGCCTGGAAATGCGCGCCCACGGCTAGAATCGCGACTTCGCGCGCTGCCGCCGGCAGCCCGGGGATTTTGGCGAGGGACTTCATGAGCGCGAAGAAGGACTCGGCCACCTCGGGTGTGCGTTGGAGGGCGGCGAAGGGGCCGACGAAGGCGCCGCGAGAGTCTTTATATACGAATTTGGTGCCGAAGACCTCGTTGGCTGTGCTGGTCATGGAGTCGTAGCACGCTTTTTGAGACTCGGTGAGGTCTTCTGGTGCGATTGGTGGGATGCGGGACATTTTGGGCTCCGTTGCTTCTGGAATAGGGATGGGTTTGGTGTTTTTTTTGTGATGCGGGTAGAGGAGGAATGGTTCAGGAGGAAAGTAACACTTGCCTTAGATGCATCCTGCGCAAATGCGTGGATGATGCGGAATGACTTCACGCGTGGTGAGTCACCTACTGTATCTTGAGACAATGGAATCCCCGTCCACGCAGACAGGGATTATACGCCGAACCACCCCATATACAGATCCCCACGTGGCAAGGTTTGTATTACTTGAAATACGCAAAATGTTACCTAAACGAAACGGTATAGGAAAGGATTAGGTGGAGGTGACCCGCGGAGACAAAGCGGGCGCACAGACACTCGGCTGGATCCCCAGAAGCAAAAAGTTCGAAGCTCAACCGTGCTTTAACTCCGATTACGCTGCGGCACCCGACACACACCCGTCGACTTTCTGCTTCTGTCTATACCACTACTCTCGTTTCATTAGCAAGGCGTCTCGGAGTTACTCCCATATCACATCTCCTGCACATTATCCACCATGGTCGACTTGTCACCCAAGGACGCTGCCGCGAAGGCTGCCAATGCCGTCGCCGGCTCCTCAGCCAAGGAGTTCAAGAAGGAGTCGACTGCTGCTCGTCTTCTCGGAGCTGGTAAATCATAATACCAACAGCCATACAATTGAGCAAGTAGCTGACAATTGCTGCAGGTACCGCTGGTATTGCTGAGCTCGCCGTCTTCCACCCAGTAAGCTTCTTATCGCGCTCCTACTCGTTGAGTCTCCCCGCCATACTGATTCCGGCCTCCAGGTCGACACCACCGCAAAGCGCTTGATGAGCAACCAGGGCAAGATCACCTCGGCCTCGCAACTCAACACCGTCGTCTTCAAGGACAAGGCCGGCGCCTCAGTCGGCACCCGTTTCTTCTCCCTCTTCCCCGGTCTCGGCTACGCTGCCGCCTACAAGGTGCTCCAGAGGTGTGTTACGCTTTCGCAAGAGCTCGGACGGGTCAGATAATTTCTAATACTGATGGTGATGATAGAGTATACAAGTACGGCGGCCAGCCCTTCGTGCGCGACTACCTGGCCAAGAACCACGGCGACTCCTTCGACCGCACCTTCGGCAAGGGCAACGGCAAGGCCATCATGCACGCGACTGCGGGCTCGCTGATCGGCATCGGAGAGATCGTCATCCTGCCGCTCGACGTGCTCAAGATCAAGCGTCAGACGAACCCAGAGGCCTTCCGTGGCCGTGGCGTCATGCGCATTGTGGCCGACGAGGGCTTCGGTCTGTACAGAGGTTGGGGCTGGACTGCGGCGCGTAACGCGCCTGGTTCTTTCGCTGTGAGTTACCCTCCCAGTCACCTGAACCTAGTAACCACCATATATACCACATGCAGTCACTGACAGCCCACCCAGCTCTTCGGAGGCAGCGCCGCCGCAAAAGAATACCTCTACAAGCTAACCGACTACAACACCGCCTCCTGGATGCAGAACTTCGTGGCGTCCATCGCCGGTGCCTCGGCCTCCCTGATCGTCTCCGCGCCCCTCGACGTCGTCAAGACGCGCATCCAGAACCGCAACTTCGAGGCCAAGGAGTCCGGCTTCAGGATCGTGTCGAACATGGCGCGCCAGGAGGGTCTGACATCCTTCTTCAAGGGCCTGACGCCCAAGTTGCTGATGACGGGTCCCAAGCTCGTGTTCAGCTTTTGGTTGGCGCAGACGCTTATTCCGATTTTCAACAATGCTTTTTAGATGTGGTTGAAGAGGCAAGAGAAGGGGAAATAGAGACATGAGATGGCTATGGGGATCCGGGAAATGGGGCCCGATGCTGGGTGGTTGTTGGTTAGATTCGGGCAGTGTTTCCGAGGTTTGGAAGGGTATGTATGTATATAGGGGCGGACGGGCAGGGAAAAGTCGGCGCGCTTTTTCTTGGGAATATGTAATATTAGCGATATTGGAAGAATATACCTCACTCATGACCAAAGAAAGAAAAGCTTTGTTCTTTTTGCTAAACATCCGGGAACCAGTTTGCTTCTAAGCCAGAGGGAAAACTGACAGCACACGACAGAACCCAATGGAACGCCATGCTATAACCACCCAAGAAACGACATAGCACGCCCCTTCCGTACCAATTCCCAAGAAATATCCCCAAGTTACCTCGTTCAGCAACAAAAGAGTTTCGAGCCCCCAATGCCACCCCTCCTCACCCACCCATTCACCTCCCCTACTCAAACTCGACCCTGGGCCCGCCCCCCGCCCTCTGCGCCCTCGCCGCTCTCTCGGCCCTCCGCCTCCGCCGATTATCCTCCGCCCGACTCCCATCCGTCACCTGACTGCCATATACGCCCCCGCTGCCGAGCCCACTCATCCCACTCCCCGCCATCGCGGAGGGCGGACTCCATTTCGGCGCGCCTGCGCCACTGCCTGGGCTCGAGTGCTGCGGCACGGGCGGCGGGAGGTTGAGCTCGTACGGGCTTGTTGCCCCGGGTCCAGTCCCGGGTCCAGGATTAGCAAGGGGCGCTGGTGCGTTAGGGATAGCGTTGTCGTTGCGTCTGAACCGCCCGCCATTGTCCGCGTCGACGGAGCTGAGGCTTTCCGCTCTCCTCCT